TATACGGCTCCTCTCCAAAATTTTTAAAGCTGCCCCACAAGGAAAATTAACTTGAAATGATTTGCCTCCAGTTGCGGTCACAAGTTTCTGGCTATCATTTTCCGGGGAAAAACAGCAGGTGTAATTTATGAAATTACATTTTCAGTCACATCTCGGGGAAAAGCTGAACTAAGCTGAGCTACGATTTCAATTTATTCGAATGATCGTAAAAACTTTCTGGCCACAGTAAAGAAAAGTGGCATACTATCCGGCTGGAACTTGGATTTCGGTGGCTGTCGGAGCTCGTTAAATTTATGTGACGCCTAATGTTTCATTTGGTTCGGTGCAAATGCCTGTGGGGCAACTTTTTAACATTTGATGCCGGCTGACAACTCGTCGGGGGTCATAACTTTTACTTTTGCCCCCCCTCGGATTCGCCAGTGTCTCAGCATGCAGACGTTCTGGGAGGAATAAAGCTCTGACCAACTGTCAGAGATGTTCCATTGTCATTTGGCCAAGCCAAGTCCATCAATAATGCGCGCCAACAAATCACCAAAGTTTCTGCGGAAAAACAGCTAACAAAATGTGATCTGGGGACTGCAGGGGCGTGTTTTGAAAATTTATTTGCCATTTAAATTTCAATTACTCGTGGGAAACATTTGATTTTGCTACATATTTCTCTGCGCATTCGAGAGGGCCTGAATTATTGAAGCGCCTGATTGGAGTGGAGCGTAAAATCCAATCAGTAAAAGTTAAAATCGACGCACAACACGTGCATACCATATGAGAAAACCGCAATTCCCAACTTGGCCAAGCTTGGCTCTAAAAATATGCACATACATATGTACGTTTGTGCTCCTATGCAAACACACACGCACTTTGACAGCTGCACCTAAAATTATGCAATGTTATTTTGTATTTTCCAGCACAAGCTTAAAGCGCGAGGGCTGATCTGGAATTACTGGGGAAAATTCAGCTACTCTAATCTACTTTTACGGAGTTAAAATTTATATTTACATATTTATATTTACCAGCGTGATTTTTAAGTTTTTTAGGAAGGTGTAATGCTATGAATATTCCAATATTTAAGTCCACCCAAACACCTGACTTGTTTAGTTGGTTAAATGACACGGTAAACGGTTTCGGTTTCGATTTCCTTTGCCCATTTGTGTCCTTGTGTCCCTGGAGTGTTCGAATGTGTTCGTGCGTGTGTGATTACTCATACGCAATGTTGCCGGCAGTAGGAAGGAGTACAACAAAGTTGTAAAGTAGAGTTGTGCCAGACGAAAACCATGTTGTGGGTTAAAGCCACACAAGCTCGCTCACATCCATGTGGTCCTCAGAATAACTGTATTTACGCATCCCATATTCCGTTGCCCCATTTCCTTTTCCGGTTTTTTTGTTTTTTTTTTTTTGTTTTGAGTGCCAGCTCGTTGTCGTTTTCGTCCTTCGTTATAGGAGGCACGTGATTTCACTTGGGAGCATTTTAACTTAATTAGGTTCGGCTGAAACATGCAAAGAATGCCATTTCTAAAATGTTAAGGACGTGGAGCTACTAAATATATAAAGGAATTTTCTATGTAAGCCGACATAGCTTTTTTTTAAAGCTGACAAATTCGTTTATGTTAAACTTTATGGAAGAGTTTTAATTATATTTTTAATAATATCCTATATTTCATAGGGAAATTAATGACGCATATGCACTGTATTACCAAATAAATTGAAGTAAAACAAAGGCTCATCCTAAAGTACATTTCTTCAGAACCGCTCGAAAACGCTTAGTAATAATACCATATACTTTTAGAATGGAGCAGGCTTATAAATTACCTATATACTTGCACATTTTGCTGTTAGCAATACGTAAGCCCCATTTAAGCCGCAACCAATAATGCGAAATGGAGTCATTAATGTTAATTTGCAAACATTTTCTCCCCTTTCCCCCACAGCACTTACGGCCATGTCATGAGCTCCAGCAGCACAGAAGCTTCGCATCCACGACGGAGGATGGCGAAACGGACAAGCACAAAAAACCGACGACGGGAGGTGAGTGGAAATTGGGAATGGATGTGGATGGAGATATTTACAGGGCAGATATTTTTTGTAAATATTTTCGTTCAGTGCGGGATAACTGATTGGATTTGACAACTTGGTGGGAGGGTGTTAATGTAAGCTTATCAATCATCCCAATCGCAGGTCACAGTTCAAGTCATCATGTGTATGAGCAAACAGAAATTGGGGAAAAAGTAAAAGGAAAGGAATTGAAATCCAATCAATGTTTTGCTTACAACCGAATTAGGGATCGAAGAACTAGAAAAGGTACCAATCCTTGCAGAACTCAAGAAATTAAGCAGACTGTAAATCAAGAACCAAGTTCGCTTTCTGGCACTCTGTCTTCTAGACTAATATCAATAATTCAAAAATTTATAGAATTAAGAATTACTAAGAAAAAGAAGTCCGACTTTTGTAAGTTTATCATGAAAATAAATTCTAATTTTAAATGTATATTCCCTAAGGTACAGATAATTCACTCAAGAAGAGAATAAAAAAGAATAGGAAAAGAAAGAAGAAACTGATACTGAATAGGAAGAAAACTAAAAAAAAAACTTGTAATGGTAAGACATTAATGTGTTTAGCTTGGAAGATTTTATAAGGTCTTAAAACTTATGGAAAACATTAGCCAATTGCTAAAAACTTAATTGATTAAGTTATAAAATTCCGCTCCCCTTTCTAATCACTTTATTCCCCTGCTTTACGTATTTGCATTTAATTGCACATGACAATAAATTATCGATTAATTATAGATAAGTTTGACAAATTAGTGGTCGTTGTGGTCTCTCATTAACCGGCACTTTGAAAAGTGATAGATAAATATACCCTTTACTCGTAGAGTAAAAGGGTATACTAGATTCGTTGCAAAGTATGTAACTCAACTTATCTTAATCGGAATTTTAAGTGGCACACCTCTAAATGTTTCTGGCGCAATTCTCTACAAATCTGCATTCAAATTTAGAAATTTATTTTTCTAAACATTTTTTGTAATTTTTTAGTGTGGTGATGTGGAAATTCAATAAAATTCAAAAAATGTCCCAAGGCTGAACTTCTAAACTCCATAACTCAACTTATCTTAATCGGATTTTGAAGTGGCATACCTCTAAATGTTTCTGGCGCAATTCTCTAAAAAGTTGCATTCAAATTTAGAAATTTATTTTTTTTTAATTTTTTTGTAATTTTTCTGATGTTATGATTTTGTAGAAATTCAAGAAAATCAAAAAATGTGCCAAGGCTGAACTTCTAAACTCCATAACTCAACTTATCTTGATCGGATTTTGAAAAGGCATACCTCTAAATGTTTCTGGCGCAATTCTCTAAAAAGTTGCATTCAAATTTAGAAATTTATTTTTTTTTAATTTTTTTGTAATTTTTCTGATGTTATGATTTTGTAGAAATTCAAGAAAATCAAAAAATGTGCCAAGGCTGAACTTCTAAACTCCATAACTCAACTTATCTTAATCGGATTTTGAAGTGGCATACCTCTAAATGTTTCTGGTGCAATTCTCTAAATATCTGCATTCAAATTAAAAAAATTTTTTTTATTTTAATTTTTTGTAAATTTTTTGATGTTATGATGATGAGATATTCAAGAAACTTAACAAATGTCCCAAGGCTGAAGTTCTAAGCTCCATAACTCAACTTATCTTAATCGGATTTTGAAGTGGCATACCTCTAAATGTTTCTGGCACAATTCTCTAAATATCTGCATTCAAATTAAAAAAATTTTTTTTTTTTTATTTTTTGTAAATTTTTTGATGTTATGATGATGAGATATTCAAGAAACTTAAAAAATGTCCCAAGGCTGAACTTCTAAGTTCCATAACTCAACTTATCTTAATCGGATTTTGAAGTGGAATACCTCTAAACGTTTCTGGCGCAATTCTCTAAAAAGTTGCATTCAAATTTAGAAATTTTTTTTTTTTTAATTTTTTTGTTAATTTTATGATGTATAATGTAGTAGAAATTCAAAAAAATCAAAAAATGTCCCAAGGCTGAACTTCTAAGCTCCATAACTCAACTTATCTTAATCGGATTTTGAAGTGGAATACCTCTAAATGTTTCTAGCCCAATTCTCTAAAAAGTTGCATTAAAATTTAGAAATTTATTTTTTTTAATTTTTTTGTAAATTTTATGATGTATAATGTTGTCAAATTTAAAAAAATCAAAAAATGCCCCAAGGCTGAAGTTCTAAACTCCATAACTCAACTTATCTTAATCGGATTTTGAAGTGGAATACCTCTAAATGTTTCTGGCGCAATTCTCTAAAAAGTTGCATTCAAATTTAGAAATGTATTTTTTTTTAATTTTTTTGTAAATTTTATGATGTATAATGTAGTAGAAATTCAAATAAATCAAAAAATGTCCCAAGGCTGAACTTCTAAGCTCCATAACTCAACTGATTTTAATCGGATTATGAATTGGCATACCTCTAAATGTTTCTGGCGCAATTCTCTAAAAAGTTGCATTCAAATATAGAAATTTATTTTTTTTTAATTTTTTTGTAAATTTTATGATGTATAATGTTGTCAAATTCAAATAAATCAAAAAATGTCCCAAGGCTGAACTTCTAAGCTCCATAACTCAACTTATTTTAATCGGATTTTGAAATGGCATACCTCTAAATGTTTCTGGCGCAATTCTCTAAAAAGTTGCATTCAAATTTAGAAATTTATTTTTTTTTAATTTTTTTGTAAATTTTATGATGTATAATGAGTACAATTTCAAAAAAATCAAAAAATGTCCCAAGGCTGAACTTCTAAGCTCCATAACTCAACTGATTTTAATCGGATTTTGAAGTGGCATACCTCTTAATGTTTCTGGCGCAATTCTCTAGACGGGTATTTGATAGTCGGGGAACTCGACAATAGCATTTTATCTTGTTTTAGTAATGAAATAGTGCGGGAGGGGAAACCCGGCTTCTGAAAATTAAATGCATAATAAATAGGTAGTCGACAGCTGACACAAATCGATAAATAAATTGCATATTTATTTAAGCATAAGCTTACAATGTACAGCTGGACAAAAGTTTGTTTTGCAAATTAAGATTAAATATACGTATATATATATATCATACTTTGGATATTTTATGGTATAATCTTTTGGCTTTACCTGTAAAGCTAAATTAGGCTACCAATATGGTTAACTACGAGAAGTTTTTAGAATTAAGCTTTAACCCGAAACCCCAAGAAGTCGTCGTTGCCATTTGTGTCTTCATTGAGCATTAGTTTGCCGATTACATTTTGTCGTCCAGGCTGTCGTAGAGCTCTGCATCTGTGGGTACTTTTTCGGGGGCTTCCTCCACTTGTGGTGGTGGCTCCTTGCTGGGATCGTAGACCTCGAACTCCTCGAACTCAATCTCATCGTACTTGCGCCGCTCATAGATGCTCCTATCATTGGCCACATAGTGCCGAACCACGGACTTGTCCACCACAGAGTTACTGCTGCTGGCACTGCTCAATCGACGCTCCGGAATTGGAGCAGTGTGTGTTACTATCGAGGCCTGACTGTGAATATCCACGGGCACAATGATTTGCGATGGTGCGGCCTTCGTCAGCTTGATGGCGGCCTTTGTCACGGCTGCTTTTTCCGCATTTTCCTCAACTTCGCGCAGCTGTTTTCCAATTTTCTGGCGCGGAGCTTCGATGGGCTTGCCCTTGGGAGGATTTGTCGTTGTCTTCACCAGCGTGTAGGCCAAGTCAACGTTTTTATTGCGGCAAACTTTGTTGGCAACAGCAGTCGCAGCGGCAGTTTGCAGGATATTCTTATTCTCACTGGAGTCGAGGCGTATGTTCATGGCTTGACTTTCGTATGTGGGCACAGTCTCCACAACGCCATAACCATTCTCCTCCGGCCGGCCATTAAAGTTTTCAGGCCACTCCTGGGGATCCTGGGGCTCTTGCGACTCCTGCGGCATCGTGTCCCCAAGCACATTGATGTGATTATTTACTGTCACTTGGCGGCGCAGCACATCCTCCTCCGGCTCCTTTTTCGCCGACGTTATCTGACTCTGACTGTTGATGGTCACTTGGACATCATTGCTTGCCGTCGTCCGATTCGCCTCGAAGTGATGTACCATCTTTCGAACTACCTCGCTGTCGGCGGTGACCTCATCCTCTCCAGTTCCGGCCAACTCCAGCCGACTGCTGCAGCTGTTCGACTTCACCAGCTTAAATTTGATGCCTGCACAGTGGAAGAAGAGCAATAGTCATTTATGTTTGATGCTGTCATTGTCAGGGTGTTCGATAGCATATGTTCTGGGATGAAGTTATAAAAATATTTACGCTGTGCATACAAGCTGTCTGTCACGGTTTTGTGATAAAACGTATTGCTTACTACTAGTAACTTGTATAAAAGTAACTTGTAAAAGTATGAGATACGTTTGCTAGATAAGTTAGCTTTTAAACGAGAACAAATCTTAATAAGCAAATTAACAAAAAACATCTTTACAAAAAAGTTTAAAATTTTACGAGCCGGGTGTGCACCGTGTGCAATCCTATTATGAGTATGAACCTGGCCAGCATGATTCTCATTACCTTGATAGGAGTCCTGCTGCTGTTCAGCTGCCGCTTGTTTGGTTTGCAGTCGATGTTCGCATCTCTCGCTCGGGAGGCACACATTGCAGGCCTCGATTTGACGGATTCGGGAGCGGGTGGCACTCCCCGTCATCGGCTGAGTGGTTTTTGTGGACGGAACTGTGCTGCTGGTTGCGGTCTTCTCCAGCACCCTTCCTCCGTAGTAGGTGACAGTTGAGCCGCACTCCCTTATCTTGGCCAGCACGTCCTGAAGGCAAAAGGAAAAGATTAGATGACTGGCTGCCATCAAAGGCTAATGGTCCATAAAGCCACACGCAAAATGACCGCACCCCAATAGGCTACACAAATATAAAAATCTAGGCTTACGCAACCAGTAGCTCGAGCTGAACACGAAATTTCTCCATTTAACTCGAATTAGTTAAGTTCGTAACTTGCAAGGAACTTTAAACTTGACAGTATATTAATGATAAATTGTAAGATATTAAATAAGTAAAATGAAACTCCAAAGGAATTACCTTGATAAATGATTTAACTTAATTGCCGTGTTAGACTAATTAAAAACATCTTGTAATCATTTAAGTGCTGCGATTATCATGAATATAATGGGCATATCTCAAGTATGTCTTGATAAGATTAAATTTACAAGTGGTCAATCATTTGGAAAGCTAACTCGATTCTTTCTGTGTACTCACATTGCTGACGTAATAGTTCTCGCACATGTCCTGCTCTACATCGTCCTCGTACTGGTCATCCTGTTCGTCGTCCTCTTCCTCCAGATGTTCCTCATTTTCCTGCTGCTCAGAGTTTTCCAAATTATTTTCATAAATCTGCCGATAAAGGGATTCATTTGCTCCTGGTCCTCCAGCACCCATGCACCAGGTGCGTCGGCTGGCGAATTTAGCTCGAGCTTTGGCATTGGCAGCATTGCTATTGTGCCTCCGAACAACGTCCTGAACATGAACATCCTTGCAAGCCATAACTGGAGATTCCTGATGATGATACTCCCCGCAGGGGGAACTTAAATCACCACTGGAAATTCCACTTGATAGGCTGGCATTGTCCCAGTGCTTCGCCTTGTGCTCCTCCAGCATCTCCATGCCTTTGGGTTGTTCTTCTGCTCCTCCATAACTCGTATCGATTGTCAGGTATCGGTAACCCCTAGCTCTCCTAGACTTGGGACTCAATTGGCAGGCTGAGCCCCCAAACTTTTGCTGGGATTGCACCAATAATCCCTGACCAGGAGTTGGCAGAACATTCTGCTCGAAAAAGCGACGAACATTGCGAACTGTATCGGGATCTGGTAGCTCATCCTCGTAGAGCTCTCTATTCACCCGTACGGGTTGGTAGAAGAAATGTCGTTTGGCAGCAGCTCCTCCCATTTGTCTTTGTCGCGTTTTTCGTGGCTGCGAAGCTGAGGCATTTACAACCCGAGGAGGTTTCGGAGGTGGAACAGACGTAGGCGTAGTCGTAGAACCACTGGTAATCCCAACCTGCAAAGGTCGTTCTATCTTGGTCCTGACAGGCTCAACTATCACCACATTATTGTTGCTCAGCAGCTCCTGGAAGCTGTATTCCTGCAGGTACTGAATGAGACCATCAAACTGGGCCTCCTTTTTATTTCTGCTGGAGAGGAAATTGTTGCGTATCAGTTGCTGTGACTTCAGTACCTTATACCTTATGTGGTCGAACTGATCCTGATCCTCATCGGGATCGTCCTCCTGTTCCGGAGCAGCCTTTACAATGGTGGCCTTCTGGGCACCCTCGCCTAGTTCTACAATTTCAATAGAGGGATGCGGCATCATGCTGCAGAAATCATTGCCAACTGGGGATTTATCCGTGCCTTGTGTTGTGGTCTCTCCACCCAACTGGAAGTGAATGCCTGGCTGGGTTTCCTTTGCCGGCTGCTCTGTTTTTAGTGTTTCCGGTTCATTGCCCGCCAGTTTGTTCCAATAGCATCGGACTGCATCCACTTTTTGCAGATATTCATTAGCCACCTCGCCACCCGGCGAGCTAATTGTGCTGGCTATGCTCCTGCCACTGCTCCTCCTTCGCAGGGTGCCACCTGCTCCTCCGCCCGCTACTCCTCCACGTCCATCCACCACATGCAGTATTTGGGGTCGTGACATTTTGCCCCTGGAAAAGCTCGAATCGCTGCTGGAGGCGGGCAAAACCCTGACAGGTCGGGCCTTGTAAATCGGAGCACCAGTGCTGAGGATGCGGTGTTCCAGCGGTTTGCCGCTCGAGGAGCTCACAGAGCGGCGCAGAGGGCGCTGAATGAGATTACACGTTGGGTTTGAGTTTGAGTTTGAATTTGTTTTCGTGCTGGGTTTGGGTTTAATCCTTTGGCTGGTTTCCTTGTTCTCCTGAATTGCCTCCTTCTGGATGATATTGTTTTGAGCGTCGGTGACGATTATTTGAAAGGAGGGCTTTATTTGCTCCTGTCGCTCGCGGATTTCCTGAGCACGACGCTCGATTAGTCTGCTGAAATTGGCCACCTCAATGACGGGCGCCTCCTTGGGTTGTTCCGGTTGTGAAATGGACACAGACAGATTGTCCTCCTCTTCTACATCCGCCGCAGAATGCTCTAGATGAGATTCCTCGGTCAAAGGTGGCGGCGGTGGTGGCAGTGGTTCCTCTTCCTCGTCGTCCTCAGCCTCGTCCTTTCTAGAAATTCGCTCTATTTCCTTGATTATAGCTTGAGACTTTGTCGTACCTTTCGCTTCAATTTGCCGCTCCTGTGCGGAAAATTCCTTGTTTATCTTTGGCTTTTCTTTTTCCCTTTCCTTATCCTTTTCCTGAAGAACCGCTGACGCCTCTTTTTCACGTTCTCTCTCCCTCTCCTGGTATTCCCTTTGCCTGGCTTTCTGATGGGCGCGTCCAAAACGTCTAATGGAATCGTACGTTTCTGCCCTGGTCACCTGCTGCTCCTTTTTGGCCTCCTTGCGCTGCTGCTGCCTTTGCTGGTTGTAGGATGATCTGAGCTCCTTGTCGATGTTCTCGCAGACCTTCAGACTCACTCCTATATTAACATCCGGCAGGCTGTGATACTGATTCTCCGCGAGGTTGGACTTGTTGGCAGTGACCACGAAGGAGTCGGTTGCCTGGCGTTTCAGTTCCGGCGGTTGCTGCTTGACTTCCTCCTGCTTGAGCTTACGTTTTTCCACTACTGCCAGGATCTTGGGTTTCGGAGTGTGTTCTACTTTCAAAACCTGCGTAAAGATCTGTGCCTCAACTTTGGCTGTGGTGGCTAGCAGAGGAGCAGGTTGATCTTCTTGATTTGTGGCCTTTTTGTGCTGCTTCGCTTGTGGTTCGTAAACCGTGTCCTCAATCGAAATGTGCAGTAGGCTGCGGGTTTCCAACTCACCACTTTCGCCACAACTAGTGAAAGTTCTCTGCTCAAAGGACTCGCAACATTCGCCAACTAAAGTACAATCTGAACTATCTTCTGAGGAGAGGTAAACGGAATCATAGGCGATGAGTTTGTCCAACTGTTCGTTGTGATTTTGCCTTAAGGTGCTCTCACTGTCGCTGGTCTGTGGTTCCGTGGGCGTGGTCAGACTGTCCACAACCTCCTCTCCAGCTTGCTCCTCCTCGCCCTCCTCACTGCTCTCGAAACGTGTCCTTGTAGTGGTCGTAAGACTTATAATCTCGTAGCACTCCTCTCCGTTGTTACCCTGCTGGTAGATCTCCTCGATGTGGGTTAGGTCGTATTCCTGTTCCGAGAGCGATGGACTATCCGTCTGATCATCTGAATTACTGGTTGTAGTCTCTGGGAAAACACTACTCTGGCTGTGTTCTGGACAAGATTCTCCCCCAGTGTCCAGGTGTCGTTGCAGGCAGTTGGAGTGATGGTTATTCCTGCTCTGCTGCTGCCGCCTAGACTGATAAATCCTGGGTCTTTCCTTGAGCAAACTGGCTGCCACTTGCTCAAGGGCTTCGAATTCCAGGGAAGATGGTTGCTGTTGATCCAGATGGTTCTGATGCAATGAATTTTTGAAGTAATCCGAGTTCAAGCTCTCCAAGTCGCTCTTGTCGTTGTGCCAAGGATGCAATTGCTCACTAAGATTCAAAGCCAAGGCGTCCAAGCGTTTCAAATTATCGTAGTAGACATCAAAGTCACGCGATTCTCTGCTAAGCCGCCTGTGCTGCTGCTGCTGATGTTGTTGCGGCTGATGTTGCTGCTGCTGGTGCTGCTGCTGCTGCTGTTGCTGTTGCTGCTGATGCGAATCGCAAGTGCCCGAGTTGCTTCTCTGGCTTTGAGTGTCATCCGCCGTAGGCTGATCCACTGGCTGCTCACCCAACAAGGTCGTCTGATGCGGTTTGCCGTTCAATCTGCGGGTGGGAGAATCGAAACGGGAGGATGAGCTCGTTAATGATGCCATTGTTTTGCATGCTGGCCTATCAAAAGTAAATTACATCTAATGGATGATGAATGCTCCCTGCACTTCTCACACCAAACTGCTTTGGCCTCGTTCAAAGACCCTCAATGGCAACTAGTATCAGACATGTGATGTCTAAATCAATCAATCCGCACAAATCGGATAAATCAACAGAAGCCTAACTGAGAATGTCAGGCAGTCAAAAGTGGGTTCTTGTTTGTCATTCAAATGGGCACCCAACTGCAGCAGAAAAAGCGAACTGCGGCAGGTGATTGATAGAATTGTACAGGCAAACATGAAATTAAATGTGTCAAATCGGTGACGAAGGTATGTGGCCAATTTTAAAGTGAGTAGCGCTTAAATGGGTTGTCAAGTTGGTTTTCTTTTTAATAGTTACAGCAGAATAAAAATTGGTCGCGTATAAAAATAAAATTCAATAACAGGTCAACAATTGCTGACTTTATTGATTTTAATTATTTTCATGACTGAATTGCAATTTTATTTTTATGTATGGCTCCTAATGGCCGTGGTCTTAACCACACCAATAACGCTTCAATTTCATCATAAATTACCGAACCTGCAATAATTATATTTATTGCTTTCAAACGAGCTCACTTGCCAGACTCTGGGTATAAAGACCACTCAATAGAGATCTCTGAGCTAAAGCCTCCATTATCCCACATCAAGAATGAGCCGTCACTTTGGACCGGATCCGTTTCAGCTGCACATTGCTCCAGGGCGGCTTTTGTTGCTGATTTACCACCCAGCCACTTGACGTGACGATTTGCGGCAAATTAAATAAAAAAAAGGAAAGACAGAGTGCGACAGAGCGGGAAGGATGCGATTCCGAGAGGCGTGGCAGCTCGACGACTGCAGATGCCATTGTCAGGATGCGCAGGATAACGTGTGTGTTAATGGCAGGACGAACGAGTGGCGCGCAGCTAAAAGCTTTTCCAATTCACTGTCACATTGCCGCTGACTCATACGACTCATACATGCGACTCAAACAATTGAGAAACAACAAACTTGCCATTTTAATTAAACAACGAGTGGATAACTACCAAATCTGAAATGGAAAAACACAACTTCGCACTAAACTTTTACCGCTCATAAAACTGAAATGTTCTTATGTAACGTGCTTAACCGTTCGATAGTTTGCACTTTGCAGTTGTCACCAGTCGGGCTTAGGCTAAATCGGCAGCCGCAGGTCATGTGCCGCAACACTGACCTCGGTATAATGACCCTGGCCGGCAGGCAATTGAGGTTCAAAATAAAGAGGTGCACACAAACCGCAGAAACCAGCACCAGCCAAACGCAAAATTAAACAGCGACAACAAACTGACCGCAACAATTTGGCCGGCGGCTTTTGTTGAATTGTTTAAACTGAAACTTATGCCGAGACCTGTTGCGTTTGCGGCAAACGTCGCTCCACGACTGACGACTGGCACGGCCAAAGTCAGCTGAAAACGCGCCGTGCCTACGCGGCGTATGCGTGATGGCCGGGCCTTAACCACTTGAGAGCAAGACAAAGCTTAGCTTAGTTGTGCCACTTCTGCTTATAATATAATATATCCGATCTCATGGAAAGCTAGAAGCTTACGATAAGTGCAAGTAATATTTACGATAAAAACTTGTCAGCAAAATATCTAGGCAAAATATAATCGATCTGTCTGACATGGAGTTTTCTTTTTAGTGCAGTGCTTATGAGTCACTTACCGGGGCGATTCACGGAAAAATCCGCGATTGACGAGCCGGGCACGCGGTATTAGCTGCGATCGGCGACGACTGCTGTTGGCCGATCCAATTTGCAGATCGCTAAATGTCTCCTCACGTATTACGGCCAAGCTGCGCGATCTCCTCAAGCTGCACGATTCGCTGCCCAAAATGTCCAGCAGGGCGTTGGCAGCGACACTGGTTGCGGTGGTGGTGGTGGTGGTGGTGGTGGTGGTGTTGGTGGCACCACCATTTGCCTTGGTGGCTACTGTGGTGGTGCAGGTTGTGGCTGCCTCCTTTGCTCCTACTGCCGTTGGTGTTGCAGCCGAGGGCTCGAAGTTGTCGTCAATTGGTAGAACTGCGGAGGATTTTGAACATTTACATTTCACTTCACGTTCACTATGACGCGTTCTCAAACTGAACAACTAATGAATGACGAAAATCAAAACATTTACTGAAATGTAGGTCAACATGGCATTTGTCAGATTTAGTTGATAGTTTAACAAATTGTATGCTAGCACGAATGCCAATAGCACTTAATTGTATGCAAACCAAAGTATTAATAATGGTATTTTTCAATAAATTATACGATTGTAGTAAGTCCTCAAAGATCAAAATCTAGACGATTTTATAATGTGACATTTACGTGGTAATTAGCAAGACAACTGAGATCTTTAAACGGATATCTTATTTATTCCCCATAAACGACGTGGCCGAGTGGATCCAATCCACCCGAAGGCCGCCACTCACCCGCATAGCTATCGACTTGGTCGAGCGGAGCTTCCGCATCGAATCGCCAATAGAACTCGGCGATGTCCAAGGCGTTCTCCTCCCGCTCGAGTTGCGTGTAGTCCAGCGATCGGGCGTTCCTCAGCTGCCCGTTTCCGCTTCCGGCCCCGCCCACCCGGCACTGCGTCCAGTGGGGCTGGGCGTGTTGATGGTGGGAGTTCGAGTTCGAGCTCGAGTGCTGCAAATGGTGGTGGCTCTGCTGCTGGTGGTGCGGATTCACCTGGTTGGCGTGGTGGTGGTGCAGCTGCTGCGAGTGGCGACCTAAGCCAGTTCCAGCTGCGTCATGGCAGCTGGTGGCCAAGTCGAGATGGGAAACGGATTTGTGTGTGTGCCTCCAGCCAGCGGCTCTCAACTGCGGACACCTCGGATCATGGGTGGTCTGCTGGTGCTGGCTGCTGTGGTAATGTCCACCAGTGGTGTCCTCTAAGCGCACCCGATCCACGTAATTGTGCTGGTAGCTATAGCTGTCCTTGCCACTGAAAGGGTTAAATATGTGGAATTATTAATAGCCAGGGTCAAAAGTTCCTAAATCATATATGGTTTTGCAAAACGGCATTTATCATTTTTATTGCGCGTAGGAACCATAATTTTTGTAATATTTTAATATTCACTTTATTTAGCCAAGCTTTGTCGTCATTCCTAGGACATAAATTACAATGGTATTAGTTCCCAAACTATTAACATGATTTTACGCAATGATAAAAGCAATCCATTTCAGCCGTATTTGCATAGCTTAAATAAATATACGGTTTATTAACTATATAGGTTTATGTAAACTGCTTTAGGAAGCAGATACTTGTAAAGTTGGAGAGTTTGATCCAGTTAGCTTTATCGCTAGCTTGTTTTTCTCTGTTTTGGACTAGATGATGCATTTGAAATACACTGCCACATGACACATGAGCCACCTGTCCGCCAGTTAAATTAAGCGCCAAAGGTGATTCTGCAGACGTTAACACTAGTTTTCTTTTCGACTGGCATAGCAATCAGTCAGTCGAGCGAAATGCGAACGCAGACGCTCCACAAACTCCACTATAAAAGTCAAACAGTTTTCCGAGGCAGCGAGAACAGAAAAGTTAGTTCCTCGAAGCGTTTAGGCCAAAGGACTATTTGCTTACCGCCTTTCGCCACCACCAGTGCAATTGATGTGTGCCTGTTGGATGGTGGATATGAGGTGGGTGGTTGGGGTCTGCACCCTTGACTGATTGGGGGAAAATTGCTTAGCCAGCAGCTTTTTTACCTGAGCTGCCAAATGAAGCGTGAGAACCGCGCCATCAGTGACTTTGCTGTTGCGCCGTTGTGAAATGCCGGAAAAGTCTGAAAAGCTCTTTGGCATTTGTAAAATGGAAAGCGTCTGCCACGGATTGGTAGATTGATTGCGGAAAAGCTGCATTAGTTTGGTCTGTACTGGGAATTCTACGTAGTACTTTTCAGTTATTGCTACAGCATCGCATAGATACTTTTCTGGGCATGGTTTGGAAGCATTTAAATGTTTGTTATGGGTGGTTATATTACTCAGGAGTTGGACGTCTATAGAAAAGAACATGGAATGTTTTTTAAGAATACATATTAGCTGATATTTGGGTTTTTAAAACATCATCATCATCAAAACATCACAACTCCGCTCTCAAATTTAATTTTGTAGTTGCATAGCAACTTAAATGCTAGTTCTTTTCAGTATAAAAAAAATCCAGTAAATAGTATAATGAAATTTGATTTGCAACAAAAACTTTTTACCACTCTAGAATTTAATAATCATTTCGAAGTTTTAAAATAGCAAAAGTATATTAATTATAAGGAAAGTTTGTGCAAGCGCGCGAGCACTTAAAACCAATCTGGATATTTCATAAAGTTATAAGCCGAAATAAAAATGTTATGGTATGCCACCATAAAATTACTAGCTCTGCCAACCCTTTCGGTGGCCTAGCCTTGGCTAACTTTCAGACTAATCTCCGCCTAATTTGCATCCCACAAAATGCTTTCCAATGGCAAAAGTTCAGAGGTGACAGGAGGCATTTTCCATTTACCCGCTGCAATAGTTTCCGTGTTAATTGCAGCTGTCTCAACATCCATTGCTCCTGCGTCCTGAGTCCTTTGGAAAGGTGCATGTGGATGTGTAGGAGCAGGACGAACTGGCTGGCGTACATTTTACCGAATGGTTGCATTTTAGATGCGAGTCATTACAATTGCAAATGCTGCCAACTAATGTTTAACTGTGTGCGGATTCAGGATTCAGGCCGCGCCATCCTGGCGGCTCTCCTGCCGTTGCCGTTGTCCTTGTTCTTGTTCCTTGTAGCGGCGCCCGGGTTTATGGACCGAGCAGCTGACATAAAAATAAAAATAAAGAGCCAGAAAGTGCTGAGCACTCGCACCCTACTGCCAACTGCTTAGCATTGGCCTGGCCTCATTTGTCCTGCTCCATTGCCAGTGCCATTACGTTTCTGGCCAACCTACGTTTAGGTTGCCAGGATTGCTAAGGTTAAACTTGGGTGCTTTTTCACTCGTTCACCATGGTTTTCAGCCATTTTGTAGCAAATTTGTTAGTATTTCACTTAAAAGTTAATTAGGCGAGTGTCAACACTGTGTGGAATGCGTGAAAATTGTTTTGTTGCGTGTTCCCTAGCAATATGGCTTCACGATAATATCTCACTTCTTTTACTTTCATTTTGGAGGCGCCGAGTTGTTTTTCCGCTTTCGCTTCCTTCCAAATGTTTTGCCTCAAAATCCTAAGATTTTAATTACCTCAGGCAATATGTTCGCTCGACGCTGAATATAAAGCAACTTGCTAATTGCTTTTAATGCCATTTTATGACTGACAGTGGGGCTTATAAACATTCTCTGTTTCTCTGTTTTCGCACAAATAAAAATAACAAATTGAGTTTGGTTTTCCAGTCACGTGTGCGCTTTTTGTTTCGCTTTAAACTTGATCTTTATTGCGACACGCGCCGAATTAAATTTCTCACTTTTCTGCAACATCTGCCCAAGGGCAATAACAACAAAAAAAAAAAAAAAAAAAAACGCATCAGAAAAAAGTCAATGCGATTTGCGTGCGATTAGTGAGCGATTTTCAAATTTCGCCATTGGCCAAACAAACAAACAGCCACTAACGGTTTTAAATAAATAATGAGAAAAAGCTAATTAAAACTTAACAAATTATTTAGCACAGCTGAAAAAAATAAACAGCACTATTGTTGCTGGCAGCAACGAAACAAAGAAGCTGAGGCCTTTAAATATATTTAAGAGCAGCTAATTAAATTATGCCGCAACAAAAAATAAAAATGCAGTGAAATAAACACGTTCGTGCCAAAATGGAAATGGCAAAATCGCGCATGACAGCGCCAAATTAATTAACACAGATATCTATTGGCTGAAAAACAAGCAAACCAGCAAACCGCCGAATACCGATTTACATGAAAAGCATCCCAACAAAAAAAAACAGCCACCGAAGCATAAACTCGCTTAAAATAAATGCATAAAATCATTCTCACACGGCCACACAATAGGTTTCCAATTGTGCAAAATAGAATTAATATAAAATAAAAGAACTGGAATAATCAGAGCGTATTGTTCAAGAGACCCCCGATCTGAATCATCTCTCATCCATTGCGATTGTACCGAAAATGAAAAATCCAACAGCAAAACCCGTCGAAAATGTTGCAAGAAGATGGGGCCTGCCTCCAGCGACATTTCGAATGACATTTTCCGAAAAATACGGCACTTTTCGCTTGTCTGCCGCAACATCGTTGCTAAAATCGCTGTAGGTCAGGAGAGCTGGAAATAAATGCTAAATCAATTTTCTGCTGCTGTAACTGCGGTTGCCGCAAATTGCATTTCAGCCAACTCCTCTTTCAACGCGGCCCAGGCTCATAAATTAGGCGAAAACTTGGCTGCCGGCTCTGTCAATGAGTGGACAAATAAGTTTTCCATTTGTCGCAGGACACTCAATCATCTAAAGTGGAAACTGCTTACGTACGGCCTCAATACTACCGGAATTAATGGATTCCAAACAACTTAATACGTGCGGAATTTGGGTACCTTGCAGTTTATTTACTCCACTGATGTTCAATACCTTGGGAAATGGGAAATTTAGTCCGCAGAATGATGTCACAATTTACTCAAATTAATTTGAATGGTATACAAAATAGTTTAATATTATTTTAAGGGAGCTTTATGACGTTTTATCAATCAGTTGTCTGCAGTATATCTAAATAAATGTAGTCGTTTTAAGTCAAATAAGTGAGAATAATCCAGTTAAGTGACAAATGGCCGCACATTGTACATTTCAGTTCCAGTTTATCTCTAGCCTTACTACAATTAATGGTTAATTTTCCCAACGCCAAATGAAGAGCATCTTACCCAGATGGCAAATAAATTCCTTAAATCATTAATGCTTTTAGATTAATGGTCGCATGCATTGATTCCTGGAGGCTTTGTGCACATGCTAATGTCGGGGTTTTCTTCCATTTATCACAAATATTGTCTCACACACAAAACAGTGTTGATGTTAGTTTGGGGTTTTGTGGGTCACATCTTGACTCCGCAGTGCAAATAAACATTCATCTTGTTCGCTTTTTGCCACATCCCATTTTGGCCCAGTTGAATGCTTTCTATTGATGGCGCCCGCCTTTGCACAGTTTGTTGGTTTTTGTGGTTAATGCAAAATTGAGTTTATTGTCCATGAAATGGGCAAAAAGCAATAAATACCGAGAAAGAGAAAAACGCGCGCGGTTTTTTTTTTTCGATTTGCTGGTGGCTGCTTTCCACCGGTTTTCTCGCTTGTTGCCGCTTTTACGTCTCTCGATCGACTGAATGGGTGAAAAATGTTGAGCGCATGCGCGGCTGCTTTTCGTGGCAAGTGGCGACTGCGCAGCCACTGCTCTGTCGACTTCTAAAATAACACTGTTCATTTGTTTGTTATTATTTTGTTAACCTTTTTCAGTGGCACCTACCGCCTCTCTTTCATTGTTATTGCTTGCCTGCAGCAACAATGGAGCAATTTCGAGTCTCGAGTTTCAAACTTTTAGCCACTTGCGTTGGTTTTTATTACCATCGGAGGGGGTAGCCTCGTACTGTTAATGAAATTTTCCAGCCTAATCGCAATGGCAAAGTGAAAAGTAATTTGGCGCCCAATTAAACCGAAAACCAGTAGCAAAACTCTGCTCTCATTATCGAGTCGAGATGTTGGCCCGTAAAACTGCAATTGCCGCACCATCAAATACAAATTATAGTCCGCACGAGGGAGCTGCGGCATGAGGCGTATGGGGCATGTGGCATGGGGCCTTTCTTTCTGGAACCCTTTCTCCAGCCCCCACTGGAGATGGTGCCTTTTGAATGACAAATGAGCTGGGTCTGCTTCTGTTGTGTTGTTTAACTCGCTGGGATAAGCTGCAAGGTTCGTGGGTACAGTGGGTGAAATTGGAGGAAGTCGAAGAGTTCAACGAATTAGTACAAAAATCGGTAGAAGAATAAATGCTTTTGC